CCTAACTCCTGATCTTTTCCTGTGAACTTCATGATCATCTAACATATGATGGATAACAAACTTAGGCTTTTTATCGCTCATCTCCCACCGCTGGAGGATGTATGTGCTCTTTGTTATGTTTATTGATGTATGCGGAGAGTCTGGACGAGGGCCTGGAAAATACTAGGTGCTTCATCAATTCTGATGCAGTGGACCAGGATTAAAGAGAGCTGGATGGGAGCGAAGGAAAGCCAGTCATTCACTCCGTCCTGACTCAGCCTTATGGGAATTTCTCCCTTGGTTCGCTGTCCCGGGTCTCTCTGGCCTCAGTCTCCCTGCGTTTTGCCTTTCTCTGCTTCACTCGAAGCCGGGAGCCCTGAGTCTGCTTCGTGGAAGAGATGCTCAGTTGCATCTGACTCTTCACGACCCCGTGGACTCGTGAAGGCCACCCAGGCCCCTCTGTTCATGGAATTTTCCAGCCAAAGAACACTGGAGTGAGTTGCCATCTTCTCCTCCAGGGGATCTCCCAGACCTGGGAATTGAACCTGCGTCTCCTGCACTGGCCGGCGGATTCTTTACCGCTGAGCCACCGGGGATCCCATCAAAGAAATGCTTGATGGCCAAAGGGTGAAAGCAGGGGTTCAAGGGACTGGACCAGGAAGCGAGAGACTGCGTTCTGCAGAGGCCCTGCCCTGGACTCGCTGAGTCCCCCGCCGGTCCCCCGCCCTGCCTGCGCCTCGGTCTCCTCTCAGTGAGGGGTCGGGCGGGGCCCTTCTGACTCTGCCGTCCTTGGACCTCAGAGGAGAAGGGGGTGAAACGCCCTGAACTCCAGAGCGGGGAGCAGGACGTGGATGCTGCGTACTTGTCACTCCTTGGGGCTCCCGTGGGGAACGCATTTTCTTGCTGGATCACGCCTCAGACGCCCACTGTAACCTTTTTCCAAGGAGATGGTGCCCACAAGATCAATAGCTTGATTGCAGGAAGGATGGGGCGGGGTGGGAGCGACAACATTTTTCATGGCCCATCTGTCCCTCTGGCAGGTCTGGTGATGCCTGTGTGAAATGCCACCTGTTAAAGATGAGAAATGAGAGTCCCCACCCCCCGGAGAATAATTTCATGCCAGTGTCTGACGCCTGATGTTGAGACCGTGAAGCTCCTATCACATCATGTGTCAGTGTAGATCCAGACTTAACAACAGGAGAAGACGGCAAGGAGGGGAAGCCTGACTTTAATAGAACAACGATAGTGTGAAAAAGGGTTGCTCGGTCATGTCTGACTCTTTGCGACCTCATGGACTGTAGCCTGCCAGGCTCCTCTGTCCATGGAATTTTCCAGGCACAGTACTGTAGTGGGTTGCTATTTCCTTCTTCAGGGGATCTTTCCGACCCAGGGATCGAACCCACATCTCCTGCATTGCAGTCAGATCCTTTACTGTCTGAGCCACCAGGTTATGGAGAACTACTAAGCAAAGTCCTGCTAACGTATTGTATATCTTTGGATCTTTATAATAGCCTCTTGTACCCGTTTTACAGATGAGGAATCTGAGACTCAGCTTCATAGCTTATAAGTGGCAAAGGTAGGATTTGAACCCAGATCACCAGGCTCCAAATGCTTATTATTGTTATCCTGTTACGCCACATTGACAGAGAGCTGAAGCTTAGCTGTTTAAGCTCCAAGTATTTCGGGCTTGAAAAAAACAAAAAAACTAAATTGAACAGAAATTTTTCTAAATTAGGATGTATTTGATTGTGTATAGAAACAAGGAGTTGGAAAGTCACTTCTTTCATCTTGAAGAAATGTTTATCTGGATGCCTGCGGCTTTACTGGGTTGTTGGTGCATGTAGATGTGGGTTAGGGCATTGAGGAAGTAAATGCTTTCTCTTTAAAACCTTTTAAAAAATGGTTATTTCTTTAGCTGCGCCAGGTCTTACTTAGGGCATGCAGGGTCTGTTTCCCTGAGGAGGGCTGGAGCCCTGGCCCCCCTGCGTTGGGAGCGTGCAGTCTTAGCCCCTGGACCACCGGAGAAGTCCCAAGCCTTTAAAGTCTTGGCCGCTCGGCCTCTTCCCTCCCGTTCTTGCTGTCAGCTGCCACATCTTAAAACTGACGGTGTCCCTGTCTCACTGCCCCCTCCCAATTAGCTGTGCCCTGGGAAACCACGCCAGTAAGTTCATTAGATTTATGTGCTGCACACAAGTAAAGGCTTTGGAGTCAGGCCCTTCCAGGAACAGAGTGCGTGGGCTTTATCACCCTGTATTATTGGTATCCAGGGCCTTTTTTTATTTCCTTTGGGGCCCCTCAGCTGAATTTTTCATAGTTGTGCCAGCTGGGGGAGATGACACTGACTTTGGCCTCAGATATACTGAAACGGGGGCTTCCCTGGTGGCTCAGAGGGTCAAGAATCTGCAGTGCAGGAGACCCAGGTTCGATCCCTGGATCGGGAAGATCCCCTGGAGAAGGGAATGGCTTCCCACTTCAGTATTCTTGGCTGGAGAATCCCCTGGACAGAGGACCCTGGTGGGCTACAGTGCATGGGGTCACAAAGAGTTGGACACAATGGAATCAACTTAGCACGCGCGCGCACACACACGCACACAGACACACACATGTGCGCAGACACACACACATGCCCACCCACACGCACACACACGTGCGCACACAGACACACGCATGCACACGTGTGTGCACAGACACACGCCCACACACGCACACAGAGACATGCACACACACGTGTGTACACACAGACACATGCACACGTGCACGCACACACGTGCACACGCATGCACACACGCGCGCACACACACACACACACACTGACATGGAGAGGCCAGCGGACAGTCCCCATGGAGATGGGCTGAAGTCAGCTGGAGCCGCGCTGGCTGCCACTGTAGCCACCACCCCTGTGTGCTCCTGAGCACCCTGCAGCGGGGCTGGCCTGAGTCGTGACGTGCTGCAAGTGTGAAATATACCTTAAATTTTGAGGACTTAGCATCGTAAAGAATGCTGGATATCTTTTGAATGAGCTTTGTGTATCAATTACATGTTGATCGAAACATGATTCCTTGATTATGTGATAATGTCCAAAGTGATATCTGGGATATATTGAGTTGAAAAATGTATTGTTAAAATGAGTGTCACCTCTCTCTTCTTTTACTCTTTAGTATGGCTATGAGAAAATTAATAATTATGTGTGTAATGATAAATGGGGCTCACATTATATTTGTCAGTCTGCCCTGGATTAGAAATGACTGAGGTCAGAGATGGAGCTGGAAGGAATGCCATGAGAGGGGGTGGTGTTTGCTGGCAGCCCTCCAGGCCAGCCGCTCCATCTTCTCTCTGTCCCAAGCTGAACTGACATGCCGAGCCGGCTCTGTATCAGAGTTTCACGCCCAAGGCTTAGTGGGGATGGAACTGGGAGTTGAGGCTGGACTGCAGCAGGGATGTGCACATCCTAAACCTGGGCAGTGGACAGCCAGGCAGTGCTGAAGTGAAGATGGCAGGACGGCGTTGCATTCCTGGGAATCCCCGTTCCTCACCTGTCTGCAGCGTGGACAGGGGCTCGGAAGCCCAGCCGCAGATGTGAAGGTCTGGGCTGGCTGTGGCAGGAGAGATGCTGAACTTGGAAGTGGGCGATTCCACCCTTGACTCTCCCGCTTGTCCGGGTCCCTCCCACCCTGCCAAAGTGAGCTGCAGTTTCACCCCCTCTGAGCAGTCTTTCCTAGCCGCAGCACCCTTGCTTCCCTAACCCCCGTGACACGTGCGTATTGTCCATCTTCCATTTTGTCGTGACCGATAGAGCCTCAGCATCCACAGGGGATGAGACCCGTGTTGGAAAATACCATGTGATTTCCCCTGTGAGGTTTGGACGCAGGGCAGTTGGCTGGACACCAGCCTCGAGGCATGTAGAGTTCAGAGGTGACCCTCAGAAGAATCGTGTCACCACCCCAAGCCTGGTGGTGTGTCATTCTTGAGGGAAGGTGGTACTCAGTCATCATGTTGCAAGAGTCTGCAGCTGCTCTGGTTGTTCTCTTAGCCTTCTTCTTCTTTTTTTTTGGGGGGGGGGGCTGCCCTGGGTCTTCATTGCCGCATGCAGACCTTTTCTAGCTGCAGCCCATGGGTTCCTCTTGCTGCGGAGCACAGACTCGAGCGTGGTAGCTGTGACGTCCGGGTTTAGTTGCCCCAAGGCCTGCGGGATCTTAGTTGCCTGACCAAGGATTGGAACCTGAGTCCCCTGCTTTAAAAGGTGGGTTCTTAACCACTGGGCCAGCAGAGAAGTCCCGTTGTGTCAGGCTTGTCTCCCTAATTCGATGTGTGAGTGTCCAGCAGAGTGCTCTTCTCTTCCTGGCCCCGGAAGCCTCTGCATCTACGGTGAGGTGTGTGGGGACAGCAGATCGCACTAAAGGGAGAGAGGCTGTGGGCTCCTTGCGGGCAGCCTGGATGCTGGCTGCTAAGATCTTCATTGGCTCCCGGGCACGCGCATGTACGACGTACTAGTTGAGCAAATGAGTGCAGAGATGTGGACACTCCTATCTGAGGAGCACGGGCTGTCATTCATTTGGGTTCCGCTAGCCGGATTGTGTTTAGAAGAAAGATCTCTTCTCGTTGTTAACAGAATGAATCTGGAGTGGCACAGGAAATGGCAACCCACTCCGGTGTTCTTGCCTGGGAAACCCCATGGAGAGAGGACCCGGCGGGCTATGGTCCGTGGGGTCCCCTAAGAGTCGGGCACGGTCTACGGCGTGAGCACACAGCGGATTTTAAAGATGTTGGTGGTAGGTTGGGTTCACGTGGGCTGGGAAGCCAGCCCCAGTGTTCTCTTGAAAACGGTAGGTAGGAGACTCTTGAGTGGAAGGAAAGGTAACTGTACTTTCTCTCCCCTTCTTGTCTGTTTTTATCCTTCAGATTCACCCAAACCACCAGTCGCCCCCAAGCCAAAGGCTGCCAGTTCCCTCACGCCACAGACACCACCCAAATTCTGCTCCTCATCACTCCGGCCTGAAAGCCTTCACAGCCCCAACTCCTCCATGTCCAGGGGGCCGAAACCCCCTATCGCCCCCAAGCCCCGGCTGGCCACCCCCAGCGAGTGGAGGGCCAGCGTCTACGTGATCAACACCTTGAACAAATGCAGCAACGGGAAGCTGCCCTGCGTAGACAGGGGCCTCTACGAAGAGCGCCGGTCCACCCCGGAATGCTCCGAGTCCGAGGCCGACGAGGATTACATCGTGGCTCCCAGGGCTCCGCCGGGAGAGGACGGAGCCAAGGATGCGGGCTGCGTGGAGAGCACAGTCACGGGGCCTCCGGAGGCCGGCGAGGAGGAGGAGGAGGGCCAGGAGCGGGGCGAGGGGTGCGGGCCGGCGGGGCCCACGGCTGCAGAGACCTGGGCGGTGCTGAGTGGACAGGCTGACCGAGACGTCGCCCCCGCCCCCCAGGACGCGGAGGGGGCAGACTGTGCCGGGGCCGCGGGGACCGAGGACCAGACGTTCACGAGTGAGGAGGAGGAGGAGGAGAAGCTGGCGGAAGAACACAGCGCCTGCAGCCTGGGGGACGGGGGTCCTGGAGACGGAGGGGCGGAGTCTCCGAGCGATGGCATCCCAGCGCACCTCGAGGTCGTGGGGGATGCCGCGGCCGACGGCGAGGAGGAGCCCGGGGCCCCTGGGACCCCCGAGGAGGCTGATGCAGAACCGGACCGCGGTGTGGACGAGGGGGAGAATGCCGGCGAGGAGCCCCCAGAGGACGAGGTGGCCAGAGACGACCCTGACGTCTCCCGGGAGGCGTGTGAAGATGCCGCGGGTGATGGCGGCCAGCACGGCGGGCAGGATGAGCCGGCTGGCCCGAATGAGAACGCTGACCCGGCAGAAGCGGAGGTGGGGGAGGACCCCCGGGATGGCGAGGACCCGGTGCAGGATGAAGCGGCCGAGGACAGCTGCCACATCATCCCGTTTGAGAGCGACAGCGTGGACGACCTCGTGCCTCCTCTCTCGGCCCGTCCCTACGAGCTCTTCCCCACCGAGAGCACCTCCTTCTGTAGCGAGAGCTACCCCCCTTATTCCGAGTCCGCACAAGAGTCCGCACAGGAGCCGGGGCCGGGAGAACGCGCGGAGCGGGACCCCGAGGCCGGGCAGGGGAGTGAGCGGCGGGGCTCCGCGCAGGGTGGCGCCGGGGAGGAGGACCCCCCTGTGCCCGACGTGCTGGTCCTGCCCGAGGACGAGGATGCCAACCCCTACGAGATGGGAGTCGGCCTGCCCTGCGGGGCGGACCCTGGGGAGGCGGAGACACCCGGAGCGCAGGCCGCCTCGGAGGAGCTGAGTCTCGACGCCGCGGAGGGCGGCCTGCTCCCCATCGACAGGAAGAACGTCATGGCGAGGGCCAGGCCCCACTCCGGGAAGGTGGCTGGCTACGTCCCAGAAACGGTCCCGGAAGAAATGGGGCCGGAAGCTGGCTCAGCGGAGGCGAGGAAGACAGTCCTGTCGCTGGAAGGGAAGCCGCTGGATGTCGGCAGGGCCCTGCCAGCAAAGCCCAGAGCCTTCACGCTGTATCCGCGATCATTCTCCGTGGAGGGCCGGGAGATCCCCGTGTCCCTGTATCGGGAGCCCGAGGCGTGCGGCCTCGACGGCCACGGCATCAAGAGGAAGGAAGACAACCTGTCCCTGCCGTGTGTCATCGGCTCCTCCGGCAGCTTCTCCCAGAGGAGCCACCTGCCGTCCAGCGGCACCTCCACCCCGTCGTCCATGGTAGACATCCCACCCCCGTTCGACCTGGCCTGCATCACCAAGAAGCCCATCACCAAGAGCTCCCCCTCGCTCCTGGTGGAGAGTGAGCCCCCGGACAAGCAGAAGAAAAAGAAGTCGTCCTTCAAGCGGTTCCTGGCGCTGACGTTCAAGAAGAAGACGGACAGCAAGGTGCACGTGGACGTCAACGTGTCCTCGTCCAGGTCGTCCTCAGAGTCCAGCTACCACGGGCCGGCCCGGCTCCTGGAGATGGACCGCAGGAGCCTCAGCAACTCGCCGCAGCTCCGGGCGCGGACGGGCAAGCTCCGGGCTTGCGACTCGCCCTCGTCGCTCATCTTCTGCCGGGAGGGCAAGAGGAAGGGGGTCCCCTTCAGCAGGACGGTGTCCCGGGTGGAGTCCTTCGAGGACCGCTCGCGCCCCCCCTTCCTGCCGCTGCCCCTCACCAAGCCGCGCTCCATCTCGTTCCCCAACGCCGACACCTCGGACTACGAGAACATCCCGGCCATGAACTCGGACTACGAGAACATCCAGATCCCGCCCCGGAGGCCCGCGCGGGTCGGGACTTTTACCAAGCTGTTTGAAGACCAGAGCCGGGCCCTGTCCACGGCCAACGAGAACGACGGCTACGTGGACATGAGCAGCTTCAATGCCTTCGAGAGCAAGCCGCAGAGCGCCGACCCGGAGGCGGAAAGGTACCGTGACCGTCGCCTGCCTTTTGCCAGCCGGCGGCAGTAACCACCCAAGAGGCAGGCTTAGGCGAGGGTGGCGGTCCCCAAGCTTTTTGGTGCCAGGGGCCAGTTTGGTGGAAGACGGTTTTTCCACGGACTCGGGCAGGGATGGTTTGGGGATGAATCTAGCACATGACTTTCATTTTGCACTTTATTTCTGTTCTTATTACATCAGCGCCTCAGATCATCAGACGTTAGGTCCCGGAGGTTGGAAACAGGCATAGTGGTCAGAACGGACTGGCTTTTTCTCCTCTGGCTCTGTCTCTCTCTAGCTTTGTGACGTGGGCTGAGTGGCTTTACCGCTCCAAGTCCTGGTTACTTCACCTGTGAAATGAATCCGTGCTACCTCTAGGCAGAGTGTTTGGAAAGATCGGAGTACCTAGTCTACTTGAAAATGTCTCAGATGCCAAATATAGTGAATGTGTTTTGCTATTATTTGGGGTACATTTCTCATCTAGGCAGATGGCTTTACTACTCTGCTCTGGGAAAGTCACCAAAAGGGAAGGGCCTAGAATCTTGCCAAAGTAAATATCTTTCACCATCAGGAAAATACCCTAAATTGAGATTGATCCCTTTTTATTGTGTCAATATACACTCTATTCAAGGGAACTAGAAAAGACAATTCATTTAAATTGTTTGAAGAGCTAAGGGTGCCCTAAGCTAAATTTTTCAATAGAGGTCTTTAAGAGGCACGTCCAAGCTGATTTTTTTTTTTTTTTTTGGTTTTTGGACTCGGTCACCTTGGGAGTGAGAGTGAAACACTGTAGTTATTGACAACAGTGGGGGTTTTCTGACCTCACCTTCCTGAGACTGACTGATTGGCCTTATTGATCATCCCAGGGGGATAATTGCCAAGTCTTGCTGTTTCTTATGCACCGCGGATGCACCTTAAAGGCACTGCAATTCAATCTCCACCACTTACACACTCGGGGGCACCTGACCTGAATTAATGAAAAGTCAGAATGGTGGTGATCTTCAGGGAAGTCCTGGTTCTTTCCCGGAATGTACAGTACCTCAGTCTAGCCCCACACGGCTGTCGCTGCTCCGAACTCCCAGGGGACCTGCAGTAATGAATAGATAAGAATGATTTGCGATTCGCATTAGCTGTCTGTGGAGTGTAGACACTAGGACTGTTTGTGTGACTTTTCTCCTGAATTTTTCATACGGTTCCCCACCCTGTTTCCCTCTCTCCCTGCTCCGAGTCTGGGTAAGCCTATGAATTGGTTCTTTCTGTGAACTGGTTCAGTGCAGAGGTGGGCATCAGTGCCGCCAGAGGGATCCAGTTTAATTTGGAGAATGGGGGCACGTGCGCACTTTAAAGAGGGTGGGAGCAGAAAAGCAGATGAGGTCACTGCATTAGTAGTGTCCACTGGAGTTTGACAAGACCCAACCCCGGTGGGTGTGGGGGAAGCCTCCCAAGTGGTGAAGAACCCGCCTGCCGATGCAGGAGATGTAAGAGATTCAGGTTTGGTCCCTGGGCGGGGAAGATCCCCTGGAGAAGGGCCTGGGAACCCACTCCAGTGGTCTTGCCCGGAGAATCCCATGGACGGAGGAGCCTGGAGGGATGCAGTCTACAGGCTTGCAGAGAGTCAGACACGACTGAAGTGACTCAGCACATGTGCACACGACCCTGGTGGTGTCCCTCCAGCACTAGGAAATAGAGCCAAAGTTTGAAAGAGAATCTCCATGTTGGGATGGACCTCAAAGGGTGTGTGGGCTAACTTCCCGTGTCTAAGAGGTCTCTCTCCTAACTTGGTCTGTAGTTGAATTCTTCAGGCCCCAGGGAACTCTCCATCTCCCAGAGCTGCCTCATCTGTTGCTCGGTCCTTCTGTTTTTTCTTTCTGTCTGAGCCAAAAGCCGGCTTCCCATCATGTCCCCACCCCACCGAGGTGAAAGCCAACCCCTCCACTATCCCTGCCCCCTCCTGCTGACTCTTCCCCCAACAGCCAGGCATCTGAGTTCATTTCCTCTTTCGTACCACTGTCCTTTGGAAATGGAAATCTGCTTCTGTTGAATCACAGAATTGCAGAGCTGGAAGGGAACTTCTGACAACATTTGGTCCTGTTACAGAGGAGGAAACTGAGGCATGAAGAGGGAAAGAGACTTGCCTCCGATCTCTCTTGGTGGAGAAATCAGTGTCAGGGCCCTGACTCCCTGACTCCTGGTTCAGTGGTTTTTGTGAAGGATGCTAAGGTATGCCAGGTCTAGTTGTGCAGGTTGCACACTGCCCCACCCCAGGCTCACACTCACCTTTTAGTCTTTATATAGTGTCCATGGGATTGTGCAGTGTGCAGGCTACTTGGCCATATGCAAAGGGCCTGTGGCCTTGATCTGTTGCTATTTAGTTGCTCAGTCATGTCTGACTCTTTTGTGACCCCATGGACTGTAGCCTGCCAGGCTCCTCAGTTCATGGGATTTTCCAGGCAAGACTGGAGTGGGTTTCCATTTCCTTCGCCAGGGGATCTTCACAGACCAGGGATCAAACCCACGTCACCTGCATTGGCAGGGGAATTCTTTACCACTGAGCCCCTTGGAAAGCCCGCCTTGATCTTTGCTTAGTCCAAAAAAAAAAAAAACCAGAAAAATAAAAAAAGCTGCCTTCATCCAAACCAGAGTAGAATACTCCAGAAGATGCTGATTCTTTCCGTGTCCCGCCTGCTTGCTGTGTTCCAGCCACCGTGCTGGGTGCTCGCCCCGTAGGATCTGACATTTGAGGCTCCAGGCTGGAGCCTTGGCTGAGTGTCTTGAACCCTCAGACTCTGTTGCGGAATGGATTTCCCTGCGGGCCAGACTGGCTGGGATGTATCTCCTGTGCGGGAACCACATCCTCTTGGACATCAGTCAGTGAGCAGAGCTTGCTTCCGTTTTCCTGCATGAAGCAGGGAAGCTCTCTGGGCTGGAACACATCTGGGCAAGGGCAGCGCCGGACACACGGCGTCGAGAGGCAGCAGGGGCTGTCACGAGGTGCGGGGGCCCCGGCTTCTTCGCCTGAATAGGGGCTTTGAGAACCAAGGGCAGGGGGGTGCTGCTGACCTGGGACACGTGCTCAGGGGTGCTGGGGTTGGCCGGGACCCGATGAAAGGATGGGAGACTGTTCCCTTCCTCCTTCCGCTGCTTGTGTCTCCCCAGACCTTGCTGCAGTGAGGATCAGAGGCTGAGGCCAAAATAAATATCGACGCTCCTGAAAGCGGGGCGGACAGTGAGCCCCAGGACGGGGAGTTCAGAGCCCACCCGGCCCTGCCTCCCTGTGGGCATCCCGTTTGTTCCTCTGTCCCATGGTCTGATTGGAGCAGATCTGTTATTTCTCAGCCACCCACACTATGGCTCACTGCTTGTCTCTTAAATCAGCCCATCTCTTTTAGTTAAAAGATATTTCGAAAGGAAATTCTATGTCACTGCTGGCAAATGGAGAAGCAGTATTAGTTGTCTTAAGTAGAAGGCAGTTGTGAAAATAAGATACAGGACAGAGAACTAAGCCCGGGCAGGTGAAGTCCCACATGGGCCTCGAGCCTTGCCAAAGCCGTGAAACGGAGCCTCCGTCCCCTTGTTGAGCAGCGAGGGGTGTGAGAGGTGTCCTGGGGCCAACACGGAGACAGTCTCCTTGGCATGATCAGAAGGATCCAGGAAGGGTGAAAAGGGAACAACTCTCTCGTGGTGCAATTCAGTGTTATTTAAATCCAAGTCCTTTTCCTGATGAAAGTGCCTCCCTTCGAGAAACGTGTGGAGTGTGTAATAGAATTCAGAGTTCTCAAAATGAGAGCAGCAGCTCAGGGTTTGATGGATGATCGTAAAGTTTCTTCTAGGCAGTTACTTCCTTCCAGGTTTGTCCACACAGATAATAGCATTTTCCCAGTTAAAACATTCTCTGTAGCTGTCTTCTGTCTTATGAAATAGAAGTGTACACAGTGTTGCCTGTGTACATTTCCCCCCAGTATGCACAACTTTGGGCTTCCCAGGTGGCACTAGTGGTAAAGAACCCACCTGCCAATGTGGGAGATGTAAGAGCTCGATCCCTGGGTCGGGAAAATCCCCTGGAGGAGGGCATGGCAACCCACTCCAGTATTCCTGCCTGGAGAGTCCCATGGACAGAGGAGCCTGGCGGGCTACACTCCATAGGGTAGCTGAGAGTTGGACACGACTGAGAGACTTGGCATCCACGCACACACACAACTGTGATCTAAAGAGTGTCCCCAAAGGGTTCTTTTCTCCTGGATTGACTCTCATACACAGTATGTGAACCGTGAACTTGCAGATGTTCAAGCTGGATTTAGAAAAGGCAGAGGAACCAGAGATCAAGTTGTCAACATCCATTGGATTATTGAAAAAGCAAGAGAGTTTCAGAAAAACATCTACTTCTGCTTTATTGACTATGCCAAAGCCTTTGACTGTGTGGATCACAGCAGACTGGAAAATTCTTCAAGAGATGGGAATACCAGACCCCCTCACCTGCCTCCTGAGAAACCTGTGTGCAGGTCAAGAAGCACCAGTCAGAACTGAACATGAAACAACAGACCGGTTCCAAACTGGGAAAGGAGTACATCAAGGCTGTATATTGTCACCCTGCTTATTTAACTTCTATGCAGAGTACATCATAAGAAACGCTGGGCTGGATGAAGCACAAGCTGGAATCAAGATTGCCGGGAGAAATATCAATAACCTCAGACATGCAGATGACACCACCCTTATGGCAGAAAGTGAAGAGGAACTAAAAAGCCTCTTGATTAAGGTGAAAGAGGAGAGTGAAAACGTGGCTTAAAACTCAATATTCAGAAAACTAGGATCATGGCATCTGGTCCCATCACCTCATGGGAAATAGATGGGGAAACACTGGAAGCAGTTACAGACTTTATTTTTGGGGGCTCCAAAATCACTGCAGATGGTGACTGAAGCCATGGAATTAAAAGATGCTTACTCCTTGGAAGAAAAACTGACCAACTTAGATACCATATTGAAAAGCAGAGAC